AAAGAAATACCATTTGACCCAGCAATCCCATTACTAGGTATATACCCTAAAGAAGTGAGATCCAGGACAAGAACAGATATATGCACAACCATGTTCATCGCAGCACTGTTTACAGTAGCAAATAGATGGAAACAACCTATGTGCCCATCAGCAGAAGAAGGATAACTAAAATGGAATACTATGCAACAATAAAGAATAATGTAGAATCTGCAAAACACCCCATAACACAGATGAACTTGGAGGACATTATGCTGAGTAAAATAAGTCAATCAAAGAAGGACAAATAAAGTATTAGTTCATTATTATAAAAAGTTAAGGAAAGGTTTATATATGGAAGGAAACTTTGTTAGTTACCAGGGGTGGAAGGGGAGAAAAATGCACTGACCCATGTCACTTTAGTTTTGTGTATTTCACTGTACATAAATTATATTTCAATAAAATGTAGTTTTAAAAATGTAAAATGTAAAAAAAAAAAAAAATAGAGTTATGCATTAGTTATGCATGTGGGAAAGGGAAGCACTAGCCAGGTTTGAGGAAGTAACCCAGCCTGGCAGAACTGGTCAACCCTGCCTGTATCCAAATACTTCCTCATCATCCAGCTTCCCAGTACAGAAAACATGCTGTTCTGAAATCCTGAACCCTGAGAGTAAATCAGATTCTTCTGCCTCTGTTAAATTCAGCAAATTCAGTGAATAGGAATAGGAAGGGAAAGTATTTAAGATCCAATATTTGTATTTGATGAATGCAAGAGTACCGACGGAAAAGCTATAACCAAGCTTTAACTATCTGACTTGAGACCACGAAGGCTGATCTTTGTTGAAGAAGGACCCACTGTAGACTGTAGATCTTTTGCCCATAAATTTGCCCAAGGACACCAGTAACTTTGGCCAAAATAAAGATAAACTGTCCTTGAGCTGCCGAACCCTCCTCTCTAAACAACACACTACCAAACTGTTGCCGTGGAGTCAATTCCGACTATAGGACAGAGTAGAACTGCCCCCATGTGGTTTCCAAGGCTGTAAATCTTTATGGAAGCAGATAGCCACACCTTTCTCCTGCGAAGTGGCTGGTAAGTTTGAACAGCCAACCTTTTGGTTAGCAGCCAAGACCTAATCACTACGCCACCAGGATGTGTTCCACACATCGTGCTAAAACCAAAATGAAACTCACCACCATCAAG